TGACAGGTTTAAATGTTTTACTAGTTAAGCTATATGAAGACATGCATGAGAAAAAGAATTACGAGAAGTGGTTTAAGTCTTTGGTTAAATTTTTTATTCTACGGCCTTGCTTTTTAGGAGCTATTTTTCCTACCATATCAGCCAAATTTAAAAGAAAGTTTAATTGTTTATCATAGTTTGATGGAAAAATAGCATTTTTAAATTTTTATCACAAATGTCTAAAAGTACAAGTTTCTTCATAAAGTCTTAATACAATTTAAAAAAATTTTTAAACTTAAATTAAAAAAACTGAGTTGTTAATAATATTTTTTATAGATGCATGAGTTTTTAAGGCAGCTACAGTCTCATCACAAAATACTCTTAAACAAGTTGACATATTTTCACATTCAATTTGTTTAAGAAAAGTTGCAGTTTCATTAAGTTTAGACAATTTTACAACAGCATCTTTTTCAAATTGAAAAAGTTTTTAAGATCTAATCAGCTTGAAATACCCTTTGTAAGTAAAACATAGTCATTTAAAAGGAAAATGTTATCTTAGTGCATTAAGTATAAAGGATATGAAACATTCCAAAAAACTTTATATTTATTTTGTTAGTGTCATAAAAGATAGCAACAACAAAACCACCACAATACTTGATTGTTTGCATGGTTTGATCCTATTGAAATTTAGCACCTAAACCTGTTGATGGTAATGCTTTAAAAAAACTATTTTCTACTAAATAAAAAACGCTAAACCCTGAACTGCTAATTTTTGCTAATTCATTTGGGGAATTTACAGATTTACCAAAAATGATATTCTTTGATATGTTAACTGTGGTTTAACATAAATTTTATTTTTGTAGTTTGTAGTCACCTAATTGAGAGTAAAGAGTTCTTGAAAATGAAAAGCACTCATATGCCCAAGCAAGAATATCAGGAGAATACTTTTTTCAGGAATAAATGTTAAGAAGTTCATAATTAACATCTGTTTAATAATAAAACTTTTCTTGTGATTATTTGGTAAAGAGTTCAAATAGTGTATTGCAGTATAGAGACAACTAATACAGTCAATTATATTTATATGATTGTAAGAAAAAGGCTTTATGGTGCACTTAAGCATAAATCATTTTTAATTGTCAAAATAAACTTTGAAACACCCAAGTTGTCCAGTATATCTGCAGATTAAAGATGTAAACAGTTTTTATAGATATTTTATATTACTGAGAAGGAATAAGATATAGTTTTAGACATGGTTTTATTACAATTATTTATAATGTCTACTGGGATTTACACAATGAAAATGCAGATGATATGTTTTGGTCTTAACTTTCCATAATCTAAAAAAGTCTTTAGGTCTATTATCTTTACAAATTAAATTATTTGGGCAATCTGGAATATTATCTCAAGGTATAGCACTTACCTATCTTTTTTGTTCATTCGCATTTTTTTTAATTTAGAAGGCGAAAAACTTTCACAAACTTTGTAACATCGTAGTTACTTCTGTTACTACAATACAAACTGAATTCATTCAAGTCTAATTATTTAGCTCAAAAAAAGAAAGTAAATTTAATATACATAAAATTAAAAATATTTGCAAATTAAATTAAACAACCACATTTTTTTTTAGAATGCGTCATATTACAATTTATTTATTTGAAATTTATGAAAATAAAACTTGTCTACAGTTTGTTTCTTAAAGTTTCCTTGGCCAGTTACTATAGTAGGCCATGTACCAATTTCTAAGAATATTTAAACTTTGCAGTCAAGCTACAAAAACCTGATTTTTTATCTAAAATCATTATAGCTGTAAAGCAATTAAAGGCAAAATTTTTGCCCATAATAGAAACTCATGAAACAAAAACAATAACAAAATTGAAAATTAAAAAACTCATGAAAATTAATTTTTTTGTAACAATGATAAAATCAATTCTTTCATTGCCATAAAATCATTATACTCTTTTTGTTGGAAAATTTATTATTGTAACCAAACTTGACAAAGGTAACAAACATATAGCATCTTTCGTTGGCAAACAAACTTTTGATATGGATTATACGGGTGAAAAATTTTTGAATACCACTAGTAGTAATAAAATCTCAACAACTATGGATTCATATTTATAGAAGGGATCATACATGCAGCCTAACTCTTGTATGCTTAATACAAGAGGGAAGGGTGGAAATAAAAGAAAGGGTGGGAATTTTAGTTCAGATTTAATAAACAATAATAGGGGTGGTAATAAAAGGGTTGATGGGAACTTTTTTACAGAACACAAATAAAATAATTTAATTCTAGTGGTTTGTGAGCGAATGCACATTTTATAACAGCTGTTTCATCAATGTCAATATAATTATGTCAATTGGATTTAATATACTTATAAAAGCTTTATACTATGGTGAGGAATAAGCGAAAATCTAAATTTAGACAAAATTTAGATTTTCTAAAGGTCGACAATTTTTGAAGCTTAATTACACTTAAATTTTAACTCTTATAAGTTACTGATATAACTTTAGTGAGTTTTTATTTATATCAGTGACTGATATAAATATTTTTTATGACTTTTGAGATATTTTTTTGTTGATAACAAGTAAAAATAGTAAACGGGGAAGAGGGAGATCTTAAGCTTAAGGCGAATAAGAATAGTTTTTGAAAATTTGTTGACGTCCTTTTCTGTGTTTTAAAGCTTAAAACACAGGAGATGACATTTTAATTTTCAAAAGTTTTGTGTTTAAATTAAGCACTTTAAAGTGCATGCAACAAAATCATTTAGATTAACAATGTCTGATGTTATTGCTGCTGCTTTAGAAAGAGAAAACCAACCTAAACCTTTCTAGATTAATAGTATAAGATTCCTAGACTCTATAATTATGCTTACTTTATTGATTGATTCATGGAGATCTAACCTATCTTTGCTCTGAAATTTATGTTAGACTTGGCTTCTTTAAGTTTTAATTTGACAAAAGTAACTTTTACAATGTATATAATTTTTATAACTACCTAAATCTATTAGTTTTGTCATTAATGGTTCAACTTACAACTTAGAAGGGGTTCTTTACCAGTTTTTTTTTTCAAATTTCAAATTTAGACTACATTTTTTAATTATCTAAAATTCTTAAATACAAACATAAATTTCTTAAGCATTTTGCCCTGATACTTGTGAAGTAAAATAGTTTTAAAAGTATTTGTAAATTCGGTAAAAATATTTGTAAAATTGTTTGCAAATTTGGAGTAAACTTTGTTGTTTCAACTAAAGTGTAAAACCTAATAAAATGAAGTAAAATAAAATACACTAGTGGCTCTTAGACCAAAAAATAAGACGATGGGTAATCGGTTATGTCAAGATCATAGGTTATGTCAAGATCATATCCCATTCGGAACGATTATTTTTATTTGCGTATTTTTAATAGCAAGTTAGATAAAAGATTAAAAACAAGCGAGATAAAAACAATAGTAAATACCGTCGGGGATACCGTCCAGGGATACCGTCCGGGGGTACCGGATTCAATATCCCCGGCGTCCGGGGATACCGGATATAACCGTCGGGGATAGTGCAAATCCGCGTAACTAGCATTAACTACTATATTTGGATATTAATAATTTTAACACCAAATATGTATTTTTGAGATTACAAAAAACATGAATAATACTCTTTATACTAAAATAAACCCAAAATCAGTTAAAATAAAAAAATATATAGGGTTTTAAACTTCTCCAGTAAATAAAATGTACTGTAGATACGTGGTATTATACAATGCTAGATACATGGTTTTGCACTATCCCCAGGGCCGGCGCGAGTAGGTGTCACGTGGGAAGGGGGGTTTCATTACATTATTTGCCGACGTCAAATTTGACGACTAAGGGTCAAATTTGCCGACTAAAAATTATTGATGGGGGGAGGGTACACTACCACACCTTCCTATCCCCGACGATTTAGTTTTCTAAATGACATTGAAGCCTTATTAAATTTACCTTACACTTAAATAACGGTGCTATTTAATAAAAATATAGAATAACAATAAACAAAACTAACAATGAGCAATATTTAAAAATGTTTGAAGTACCAAAAATGCACTATATACTGTTTAAAATGACGGTCTCTAATTTTAAATAAACTTTTTAAAACCACCAAATCCTGGCCGCTTAATTTTAAACTGCGTCATATGTTACCGCGAATTGCTTAGATTCTTAAAAATATTTCTAAACACTTAAAAAACCACTTGAGATACAATTTATGACAAGTTTGGAAATTTTTGTTAATAAATTAACAAGTTTTAGCACAAATATTACAAGGCGTAAAAAACACTAAATCATGGCCAGAGATCCAAAACATGGCCAAATAAGCCGCTGGTTCTTCAAAGAACCATTAGAGAATATTCTTAAGGTTCTTCAAAGAACTTTAAAATTTCTTCAAGAACCTTTAGGTTCTTCAAAGAACTGGCAAAGAACCGCAAAGAACCCTTTAGATTTAGTGTAGGTCAGAAATATACTTTATTTATTTAAGCTTACCATCTTTTGAAAGTTCTTTTGATTCCTTAGCGACACGATACTTTGTAATCGTTTCTTCTTCGTATATCTGTATAGCATCTAACAATGAATTATAGCTCATAAACTGCAAAACATCTAATTAAAGTAGGAAATTGAAAAGGAGTTTTTTTTAAATAATTGCATAGTAGTGTCCAGGATTGTGGAGCTGTAAAGGCGGGATAGCTCAGGCGGGATAGCTCAGATGATTAGAGCGCTAAAGGAAAAGTGAAAACCCGGACTGTTGAACGATACGAGTTCAAATCCCGCCACCGCCAACTCAGCGCTTGAGTAGTACTTCGGTACGCAAAAATTTTGGTCAATAACGGACGCCACTTTGGATTTGTCTTAATGACTATTTGTGGCTGTTCCTATGCTAAGCCAACAATATCTTCGGATATAAGAACATTGTATAGAAAAATATAGCGTGAAAAATTAAATGAAAAAAAAAAAATAAAAAAAAAAGAAAGAAAAAATTTTTAGGAATCAAAAGAATTTTTTTTTTTGTCAAACATCAATCTCTTGCTTCATTAAACAGTAAAGTTTGCATGTTTTTAAAAAAACGCAGCTACATTTTTGTGGCTCCTCAGTTGTTATTCTCATAATTCAGCCATAAAAGGTAAAGATAATAAACAGAAAAAGTTTTTTTTATATAAAAGCAAACCACCAAACCACAAAGAAACGTTTTTTAAATGGAGTAACAAAAAGGATAAACCCAAGGATGACCTTTTTAGGTAACGTTAGAGCGGTATAGGCACCCAAAAAAAAATACCCGATAAGTTGATTATTACAAAACTGCCTAATCGACCTAAAGAAACATCCTAATTAAATCTACTAAAAAATAGATCCTATTTAGATCCGTTGAACTTAAATCCTGCCAGATAGCTAAAAATTAAAATTATATGTTCTACGACTATATAGGATACACTATCTTGTTTTTTAACCCTTAAATTAAACAGAATGAAGTATTCTAATAACAAACTGAAACTTAACTAGATTCGCTGCTCAGATTGATACCATGCTTATAAAAACTACATAAAACTAAATAAAAGAAATAACAGTTTATAAAAATTGACTTTAATTGTGTTCCATGATAACCATTATATGATTATTTTTTTAATATATATATTTTAATATATATTATATGATTACTTTTTTAACATATATATATATATATATATATATATATATATATATATATATATATATATATATATATATATATATATATATATATATATATATATATGTTAAAAAAAAAATATATATATATATATATATATATATATATGTTTATAAAAATTGACTTTAATTGTGTTCCATGATAACCATTATATGATTATTTTTTTAATATATATATTTTAATATATATTATATGATTACTTTTTTAACATATATATATATATATATATATATATATATATATATATATATATATATATATATATATATATATATATATATATATACATATATATATATATATATATATATATATATATATATATATATATATATATATATATATATATATAGTCTTGCATGTCTCTTGCGTAGCATCAAAAAATATTTCCCATAAACTGTAGTTTTAAAGAGCGCGTTAATAAACCAGACCAGAAAAAGTTTTAAAAATTAAATTTTTTTTTTTAATTGATAGACTGCCTGGCCAAACCAAACCCTCAGTCGATGTAGCAGCACTCTCTTGCGAGTCAGGCTATTTGTCAGTCGTTGTAGCAGCACTCCCTTGCGAGTCAGGCTATTTGTCAGTCGATGTAGCAGCATTCCCTTGCGAGTCAGGCTATTTGTCAGTCGATGTAGCAGCACTCCGTTGCGAGTCAGGCTATTTGTCAGTCGATGTAGCAGCACTCCGTTGCGAGTCAGGCTATTTGTCAGTCGATGTAGCAGCACTCTGTTGCGAGTCAGGCTATAAGATAGTCGATGTAGCAACATTTACGCATGTTTAAAAAATGTTTTTTATTAAATCAATAACAAAAACACCACTAATTAAAAAAAACTTTCTAGTCGTTATAATT